ACTGCCTGAAACCCAAATCTCATCTCTCTAATATCTCACAATCCTTCTATTCAGTTTCTAAAGAACTGCTTAAGTTTTCTATTGTTTAGTTTTCAAATAAGGAACTTCACCTAAATCCTCTATTCAGCTTTTGAGGAACTTTGCTGTATCTCTTTGTTATTGACTTACAAGAGAATCACTCCGCCCCGAGCCCTAGACCTTGCTCTATCTTTCCCATCTCCACCCTAATCCTTGACTTGACTTTACCCTCTAAGATGTCTTGGTAAAAATGAAGATCATAGAGTAGCATTTTAGGTCTAAAGGAATTTTATTTTTAGCCAACCATCACTAAAAAATGTTAGCTTTAAATTTTATGGACTTAGGCGTGGCAGACCTCTCCTGACCCGCCCGCTGCTCCCCTCAGCAGTGTACTCCGCCTGTTCTGCTCCCCACTCTGTCCCTGGTGAATCCTCTCACCCTCCGCATCTCTGGCCTGTACCTCAGTACTGTATGAATAAATAAATAATTCTTAAAAAAAAAATTTATGGACTTATCTTAATTTTAATAGATCAATAATGTTGTAATCTTAGCTGAAGGTCTATACTACCTCAAACTGCTCTCAGAAAATAGACTGTGGTCTCAGTCCAATTCATATGTTAATTGTTGCCTCAAGTGTATAAAATAAACTTCTGCTGAAGGCAGAACAGGGAAAACTTGCACCCAACTCCTACTCCCAATGTCTTCCTTGCGCCCCTCCCTTTTTTCCCCTTTTAGGAATCTCCACTCGTGGAAGCCGCTCCCACCTTGAGACCCTGCCTGTTCTGCCCCACAATAATCCGTGATCGGGGAACAAAGAGTCCCCGACATATGGGGTTGAGACTTAACCCTACCACAACTCCTTCTCTAACGCTGGCCCACATCAATCGCCCCTTTAATGGTAAGCCCCATGACCCTGCGGATGTTTCATACATTCTAACTCTGTGTGAATTCAATGATTATAGCCTTCATGTCTACATTTGGGTTGCCAAAGGAAAAATAAAATAATAAGGCTACACAGAAAAGCGGCACTATGAATCTGTAATATTTAGCCACAGTGAGTGCTAACCTCATGCTTGGTGCGTGATTTCTTTCATTTCATTTTCAGAACTATTTCGTGCAGTGTGTATCAATATTCTCATTTTCAAGCAGAAGAAGTGAGTCTCCAAGAGGTCAAAACATGCTACTGTCACACAGGGAGGGACTGAGTGAGACTGCATCACATCAGGCTGCCTGGTGATCCAGAGGCCACACTTTGGGCCACTAAGCTACAAAGATGGTATCATCAATCTTAACCGCCCTGGCCATTGCTGTAGCTGGCTGGTGGTAATTTTCCACAGTGCAATTTTAAACCTTCACACTTCTCTCAAACCACTGACTTCCCCACCTTTCCTGTCACTGTCAACAGATGACTGTGCCTCCTAATGACAGAGAAAATAGGAGCCATCAGACCATTTCTCTTGCTCTTCTGCCACCAAATGTACAAACTTACCTGCATCATCTCCTTCATGGCTGGCTTCTTGCTTGTTACAATGTGATATTTTCAGACAAGAAAAAAAAAAAAAAAAACTATAAGATAACATGTTCTTTCCAAGAGGAGAATGAAACCATTTTATTTGGGAGAATGTTAAAACAAAGCCATATACAATTTGTAACAAATACAACAAAGTTGTTTGTTCCCTAGTCCTGAATAATTACAGTATATACAAATTCAGTAAGGCACTGGTTCCCCAAAAGAACACAAATGATTCTTCTTTTGAAACAAAACCCCTTACATACTGCCAACTTGTCTAAAAAAAATGTGGCATTGTTTTTTGTTTTGTTTTGTTTTACAAGAGGAATCATAATTGCTAAATTAAATCATTTCTAATGCCATTTTCCTTATTTCCACTGCTATGTAGCTGAATTTTCTAAGGAGATATAACTACAGAATTCTTCAAGTTTAAAAAATTGTACTTCAGTGCCTTTCCACCTACAAAGAAAGAAGATCAGAACAGACCATCAACATAAACCCTTGTAGCTTCTAATGAATATTCATGACTGTAAGTCATTAAGTATTTGCTATCTCTGACTTGTTCAACAAGAGTTGAAATGTGTCAAAAAATTCCCTGTAAATAAAATCTCAGCATGTTTTCTAAGAAACTTTATGCTTTAAAAATTAAAAGAATGGTCATGAATGACTTGAGCAGTACTTTCCAGGAGGTCAAAGGCCTGTCTCCTCATATATGTGTTCATAGCACTGTCACTGTGATTAACAATCTACACACTTTCATAAATAAATAGTATGGTTCTTTAGTACTTTATCATCTATAATATTTTACTCTCTAATCCACATATTGGAGTTATGCCAGACTCCAAACTAAACATATTTATATAGACATATATATTTATATGATATATACACATACGTAAACTATAAACCTGAACCATCTTAGCATACAAACTTGCATTAGCTAACAACTGGATTCCTTTAGGAATTAAAAGAAAATCCTAGTCTTTGAAGAAGTCCTGAAAACAAGGAATCAGCTGTATTATTAAATTTCTAGGTCCCTATTTATTTTATTGGAAGATTTAAAAAAAAATCACTTCTGCTGTTTTTAGAAAGGCAAAAATCAAAAAAGGATTATTTGGAAGTGAGCAGGCAGACTCTTTAAGAATAATTTAGTGATCCACAAGTAAGGGGGATTTTGGTCATATGGGAAGAAAATTTGACTCATAAAATAGCTATTCATTGAAAGACTGCAGCTAACAAGGTCTTTTAAAACTATTGCAAAAATAATTTTTAAACGTTCCTGGTGAGTAAAACATCCTATTCATTTTTTCCAATGACCAAGCAATACAGAAGAAATATGGATGCTGTTAAAATGTCTACCCCTTCTCTGATGGCACCAACACCTCCCTAAAAAATCTAGTTTTCTTTCAAATCATCACCTTTGCACAACATATTTTAATGTGGAGTTATCCATGTACAAAGACTTGGCAAAAATAAAAAAGGTTTTTTTTTTTTAACCTAAGAAGTTATCCAATCTCACTAAAATTTAGCAAAAATCAAGAAACACAAACAAGCATGTTTACTTATTTGTGTGTAAGTGATCTGGTGGGCGCTGAAGTGTCTCTGGGAGGCTCAGAATGATTATCAGACTTTTAGTCACATATTCCTTCTCAGTTGTAACAAAGAATACAATTTGACACAAGAAGGAACTTTTGGCAGTCAGGTGATTTTAATCTCAGGCTTCAAAGTAGCTTTTGATTACAATTGTATCTGGAACCAACTGTTTCAAATTTCAAAAAAGCAGAATTTTGTTCTATATCCAAGCATTAAGAAAATCCTGTGAAAATCCTGTGGCTCTGAAGCACTGGGAAACTAGTCTTGCCTACAGAGCACTATTTCTCCCGTGTTGCTCCCAAACTGTAAGCACAGCTCGCACCCCTTTCTGCTCACAGATGTTTCCTGGATGAACAAATTGCTAGTCGCAAGCCTACTTCAGAAGTGAGGGAAATATTTTCTTGTTTTTATTGTAGCTGTCAAATTTTCAAAAACTCTCCATTCTTCAGTCACCAAGTGGTGAACATGTGTTATGAGACACTGCCCCCTGGAGTATTCTGGAAGAAATATCTTTATTACAAGGCCAAGGGGGAATACTTCCAAATTTTGACTACATCAACTACAGCATTTCTAAGAATTAAAAGAAAATCACAGTAAGGAAATATTATTGAACAACAGTGAAAGGGATGTGTTCAGTTTTAAATATTCTTATATTCCTGTTGTGAAGGAACACTGGCTCTGTCGATGATTTTACTCATGTTGTTCAAAAATTAAAACCCCTAAAACTGAGTAGAAGAGATGTTTTGCACGAGTGCCACAGAGAAGAAATAATAATAAATTAAAAAGCGAATTGAACATCTTGAGAATAAAATAAAATAGTGTCAGCATTTCTAAGATGAGAAATTATCACTTAAGATGTACATACTCAAATCAAATCTACTCTAGAATAATAAATCACAGCAGCCATAATATTTTGTAGCCCCCTGCCTACTAGTTCTCTTCTGCTGCCCTATTTGGAGGTTGCATTTAACTATTTTTAAATTACATTTTAGCTAAATTAACCTGACAAATGCTTCCTCTCCTTCCCTTCACACAGACACAAAAAAGACAGGCAATAACAAAACAAAAACATCTTTCACTATACACAATAAGGCATGCATACTTTTCCCCTTGTACTTTTGAGTATAGCATTTCTACACATAAGAGACAAACCATGTACATTCCTCCCCTACTTGTTGACACGTCCTTTTACAGCATAAGAGCAAACTGTCTCTATCTAAATAAAGTACCTCGTCTTAAACATCACTGCCTACTTTATTTAATATTGATCTTCCCATTTGAGGGATCAAAAGTATGCATGGGCCATTTCTCTACACATAAAGATAAAGCACTGTTGGCATTTAAGGAAAAGGGCAGGATTTTACCAGCAAAGAAAGGGCTGACAGAATCAGAAACACAAAGTGGTTCTCAAGGACAGTGTCCACATTTACTTCTAATAATCACAGAAAACCTTCATTTGTTTCATATCATCTGAAGCTTCACAAGGTCACCTGAGGGTCCCCACGCTGGGTTCCCAGACAGGTGTACTTGTAGCCAGGTAAGTTCACATTACTATGGCTGGCCCCAAACCAGGGCTGGCCAAGTGGTCAGAGCAGTCGGGGTGGGGCTTTAAAATGAGTTCCATGCTGTGTTCTCCAACTTCACAGACTGTTTTGGTTTTCAGAGTGCAACAAGATTTTTCCAATGTAAGACCACATATTTTAACTTATCCTCCAGCAGAGTTTTTAAGAAGAGCCTTTGTTATCATTTAAACTACAATAGTATAAACCTTAAAACATCTACATTATTTATTTATTTTGGCAAAATTAAAGCATCTTTTGAAAAAATAAAAGGACAATTCCAAAATACAGGGCTTTCTTAGAAAGCAACATGCATCAGTATCTTGAACAAGTTACCAAGCAGTTTCTTCCTTCTGCAGACAGACACCAATGAGTCTGTTCTCTGTCGTGTGCAGGTTGCTCCCTGAGCACAAGGTGAGCCCACTGGAAAGTGGACAATGTTCAAGGCGTGTCATGCAGATGTTTTGGGAACATCTTTTTCTCTGCCCACGAACAGAAGAATACCTGCTGGCTTTCTGCAGAGACGTGTACTTTTCCTCTTGAATCAGAGTTTAATGTCTTGAGACTCTGACATTTTGGCAAGAGTTTTCTTAACACGCAGGGCGGTCAGTCTCGACGCGGGGTTCTGGGCCCAGCACTCCATCATGAGCCTCCCCATCTGCCTCAGACACTGCAGGAGGGAAAGGAAGCCTGGAGTGACACTGGACACACGTACTGTCTGTGAAGTGGTTTGCTTTTAGTTTAGATATGGAAGTGTAAATACTAAAATTTTAAAGATACTCTGAAATTGTGTACACATCAAATCCTCTAAAGATTCTTTTTTTATGCATAATTTTGAATGACAAGTCAGAAATTCACGTCTTCCTTATGAGAGGAACAGAAAGGTGGTTGCTATGGAATCTGTCTTCTATTCTTTGCTCCCACATTGTTTACATCAGTTGCTAAGGTTAAATCTTTTATCTAATCCCATACTTTTCAGCAAATATGGTTATTCTTAAAGCACAGCTGTTGGCTACAATGATAGCATCATAGACTACCATTTAAAAAGATGAATGACGCAGGTGCAGCTTCAGTAAAACTTTCTCCCATGTTCTCCTGTCATACATCAATTATTAGCCCTCCTGCTGAAAAGTACAATCTCACATCATTAGAAATCATCAGTGAAGGGGTGCTGAGCCAGACCTCTGCCTACAACTCCCTTCAAAAATCTCAAACTTCAGCATCTAAAGATTTCTGAAGTTCTTTAGAGTACATCTGCATTATTCAGCATTTCACAACTCAATGCAAAACCAATGAACCAGAAGTTGTTTTTAAGTGTATTTTACAAGCAGTGCTCTGTCATGTGTTTGCACTGACTTTGGTAAATGTTTGACAAGATTTACCTTTCCCCTGGGGACATTACAAATTCACCTTTGAGTGCTCCTATTTACAGAGCACATAGGACTTGGGGAGCTGGTGAGGGGAGCGGTGGATGTAAGGATGGGCAGGAGGACCAGCATCCACCAGCTGCTCCTTTTGCACCTGTCAGATTTCACAGCCTTACGGCCTGGCTAAATGTGGAATATTTCAGTTCATAACTCATTCTGCCTATTAACAAGGATCCACAGTACAGCCATGCATCTCAAAAAGGTCAACTTATATCAGAGAAGAGCAGGGAAAATCAAATTCTTCAGATGACTATATTCTACTTAAAAAAATAAAAATAAAAAAGATCTGGGCCTTCCCTGGTGGTGCAATGGATTAAAGCGCAGCACTATGAAATAACCCATAGTCACTGTAGCACCAGTTTGATACTGGCCAGGGAAGTGACCCACATGACCTGGCAGACCTCTCCTGTCTCGCGTGCTGCTCCCCTCTACAGTGTATTTCAGTGAACCTGCCTATTCTGCTTCCTGCTCTGTCTCTGGTGAAGCCTCTCCCCCCAACCCCTCCCCAACTCCACACCTCTGGCCTCTACCTCAGTTTTTGTGTGCATAAATAAATAAATTTTTTTTAAAAATTACTTATTTGTGCATACAGAACTGTGTAGGCCAGAGATGTAGGGCCAGTGAGAGGATTCACTAGAGATCGCATGGGAAGCAGAACAGGCAGACTAAGTACACTGCTGAGGGAAGCAGCGGGCATGACAGGAGAGGTCTGCTGAGCCATGTGGATCAGCTCCCTGGCCCTCAAGTGGCTGATGGTAGTTTTGCAGTGCTGCACGGTAATCAGTGAGGGCCCCAGAAGCTTATCTTTTCTCCTATCAGGCCACACATGGGTCTGACATGGAGAAAATTTATGTTACTTTAAAAACACATACACAGAAATTACAACCTCTGTGTAAATGCCAGGACATCACAAATAATGAATTAATGTTATTTGCAACATAGGCTAAATGTTAACCCACTAAATATATCTTGGAAGTATTAAAATGAAATTGGAAAAACAGAATAGCTAACTTAACACACTACACTTAGCTCCATGGATAAATGACATTATGAGGCAGCTTTACTGTCACCACCAAAACAGAGGAGGAGGAGTCCTGCAGTGAGTGGGATTGTGGCAAAAAAGAAAATGCCTGTTTGGAGCTGGCCATGTCCCTGTGGCTGCCTCGGGTCTTACCTCATCACTACTCCAGCGGTTGGGGAAAGAGGGCCGCAGCTTCTTGATGCATACAATCTCTCTCATGTCTTCGTAAGAGGGGTCACTGGGCACTAGGTCATGATATGGAAGCTGGTATTCTTCTACTATACCTGAAAATGCAGTTTTATTTTAGTTATTGTTTTCTCTGAAGTGAAACTAAAACTCTAACACAGAAACCGTTCTCCAAGGAAAGTTCTAGCAGTACTCAAAACAAGGTCAGACTGAAAGAAGCAACCTGAATCTTGAAAAAATGTGCTTCAATTGTTATATAACTTAATTTTTAAATGAATGGAATGCCTGAAGAAACATAATATTATAGGTCTTCAATCCTTTATTTTAATTTCCAAAGCTATGTAAAATCAGCATCTGAAATTACTTCTAATTTTGTAAAGGATCTTGTTTGCCAAATTAAAAAAAAAACACACACACTCAAAATTGGCAGACATATCCCAAACTCATACTGCATAATATGTGACTGTGCCTATTACTGCAGCATGAGATTATAAACCTCATAAAAAAATTGGCAGTGTATCGAGCCTGAACAAAATGTCAGATTTACATTTTTTCTGCTTAATCATAAAAAAGAGTTTTACACATTTTGGAAGACTATGTACACCTAAAAATATGAACCATTCTTTTAAGGTGCAAGGAATGTCTTATTTTTGCTTTCTTTTTTTTTTTTACATTTCTTGCATTTATCAAAATTTTTTGCAGGAAATACATCACTATTTAGGAAAAATATATTTATTGTTGAAATAGGCATTAAAAATACAAATCTATGTTTATCTTTAGGGAAATGTGTTTATCATTCTAAATTCCATGTCATTTCCCTCATATTTTAGTTTTTAACTCTTTCTTCTTGTCCTTCAAAAAAGCAGGCAACTGTGTGTTCTTTTCAGTCCTATATGATAAACTCCTCACAAAATTATAAGCAGCCTCTGTCCTCAAAGGATGTTGCTTTAAACAAGCTCCAGAGCACCCTTATATACTGTTGGTAGTTAGCACACTACCCCCGGGGCTCCGGGGGATGTGCCCCCTGTTGTGCGTGTCAAGGTGGCCAGGTGATCGGGCCGATAAAGCCATGACACAGACTTGTGTTTATCTGCCTAAGACGCCATAAGGACGACCTGACCTTTCTCTGCCTTAGCACACTCCCTTGTAAGGGAGTGTCGGCATCTGGCAGCTGCAGGCGGTGTGGCAAGAGAAATTCCCTACTTCCTCCTTTCCCGCCTTAATCTTCCACTCCTACTGCCTAATAGTATATAAAGGGAGCGCTGGCAATAAACGAGAGACTCCTGTGTTTTCTTTAACCTCATCGTCCCTCGCTGGACTCGGCTCCAATCAGCCGGACGCGGCAATATACGTCTTAAAGAATTTCTTTATAGAAGTGTCATTGCTTTGGGCCTAAGAAAGAAGACAGCACCAGTGTGGCAAATTATAAAATGTACTCATAATTCACTGGGGTGACACTCTGACAAAACCTAGAGACTGCATTATGCCTTGTAAACTCAAAGCCATTAAGGACCAGAGTGCTCAAAGTTTATTCAGACCATCCCCACTCAACATTTATTCTGCATCCACTGGGCCCACCGGGAATAATATATAGTATATACACTAAGATTTCCTTCTGCTGTGTTTCATATCTGTAAGAGATAACACAGGCAACCGGGTCTAAGGCACTGGAAATGCACGCTTCATTAATCTTCAACACAACAGCTCATGAGTCTACCTTGTCTCTTTTACTCCTCTCATACTCTCCTTGGTGCCACTACTGGATAGAGGGTCAGCAGGTGTATAAACTAAAACACACAGACAGACCTAACCACATATAATTATAAATTCAAGTTTATCTTGGAATGATAGATCTACTCCTTTCCTACCATATGGTCAAGTTATCATAATTTTTCCACTTTAGCTGTCATTTAATTGGGTGTCTAATGCATGTAAACCTTTTTCTTGGATACATCTGGATAGGTCTACCTTATCCAAAGTACATGGACTATCTTCATAAAGGAAAGTGCTGGAGACCAGTTGTATGCTTTGCCTCTCTAGAAAGAGAAAAGGAACTCATTTGTTGAACGCCAAATACATGGCAGACATGGAGGTAGATACTACATAATTTATCTTATTATAACATATGTTCACGAAATAAAAATTTTAGCCATAACATATAAATGAGGAGACCTGGTTTTGAAGACGATACAGTCAGTGTGGGGTAGAGGATAGAGTCTATGCTCTGACAAACTTGTGGTGATCTCTTGGAGGATAAGGAAGCATTTTAGTCCATAAAGTTCCCACTCAGGCAAACTCAGAACTAGCAAAATGATGAACATTCTGCTGTTCAGATTTAGCTAGAGTTTGTTCAAACTAAAAGTCATTTATTCTGTATTCTAGGCCACAGGCTTTCATAAATAGGGTTTTTGTGGCCCTGTTTGTTTCAGTATTTAAAAAGATATAGTTAGGAAAGTAATCTTGTACCCCTCTACTGCTACTTTTCAGATCCTCTAAACTTGACTTACAGAAGTGTATTATTAAAAAATAGACTCACTGACTCTTTACAAAGTATGAGATCACAGCAAAGGTAATTTATATTTTGGCTTTCATCTTTAATAGTATGATGGGAAATTTACTTCCTATCTGGTTAGCAAAAATGTACTGCAATAAATTTCTTTTTGGATAAAAGAGCCCTCCCACTTTATAGGGAACTATTTAAATGGTTTATAAGAGGCTCAGAATTCCTAGAGTAACTAGAAAGCATTACATCAATCTCCCGAGAAAAGAGTGAGTGCCTATAGGTTAACTTTTCTTTATACTAAAACACAAAATATGAATCTAAATATAAGTTAGGGCTCTACCAAACAAGATTAATAAAATGGAAAATAATAGCTAACATGTACTTAGTGCAATGTATAGGTGAGGTAGTTTAAATTTTCTTTATAATCATTGAAACGTCGCACCAATCATTTGAGGTAGATGAGGAAACAGAAACAAACAAACAAAAAAAAAGTTTAGTAATTTGCCAAAGGGTTACAGGTAGTGAATGAAGTTCTAAGAACAAAGTCCAGTGCTAGCTGAGTGCACGCTATACTTTCAAAGTCCTGGGCACATACATCATGTGTCCATGAATATGAGTTTAAACTGGTCATTAGGAAGAACAGCAGCAACATTTTTTTTTTTAATGAGCACAATCATTAGAACCATAAACAAGGCACCTAATACTGAAGAGTATTAAAACTCTTGTCTTTAATTAAAAGGTGTTGATACATAAAATAAAGGATACCAGTAGTAAGCAAAACATTACAAGTAATAACTCTTACTAAATATAATGAATATTTAAGGATATTTTATTTAAGTCAGTCTCACTAGGGAATCCTGATTTTTATAGAAAAATTATAATGAGCAATCATATAATGCTTACACTTTTATTTTTTTAATAAAAACTGATGTTTTCAAACAGCCTTAGTAGAAAGTATTAAAGAAAGTTAAGAAATAGAGGTTAAAGACTGGGTGTCCCTCATTTAGGGCTCTATCTTCATCTGCACAGAGGAAGCCACAGGGAGTGGCACTGGGGTCGGGATGTGGCCCAGTAGTTTGGTAACAGCTGAAAAGAGTGGAAGGGAGAATGTGACCTGAAGGAGCAACTGCCAGAGAAGGAGCTTGGGAGAAATGAGACAATGTGTAAGAGGGTGATATTGACACAAAGAAGCCAGAGCACACTCGTCGGTAGTAGGTAGAGGCGGGAGGCAATCAAAGGCAATTCTAAGATGTCCAATATCATTTTCTGGTGGATTATTACTGCACTACCAGAAACATAGGATGGAAATTAAAGAAAATCTGACTTTGTGGACAAAAATATAATTTTATTTCTGATCAGAAAAAAAAAATAAAACAGAATGGTAGGAGATCCAATCGTTGCATTTTGAAGATATTAGTGTTACTTACCACCTGATACACATCTCCTCGCAACCTCCCAAAGGATAAGTCCAAAACTGTACATGTCGGCCATGATGTAAGACTGGAAGTGATTTCTATTCAAACTCTCATCTAATACTTCTGGAGGCATGTAGCGCTTGGTGCCAACTCGAGTGTTGGGTGGTATGTCAACTTCATTTGTATCACTAAGGAAAAAACAAGCAAAGCACTATCAGCACAGAGGGTGTGCCAACAAATGACCAAGGTGATCCTAAAATAGAGCTTTATTGACAAGTGGAAATGGAAATACTTCCAGGGGTAGAATTTCCTTGAAAAATATCTCTTCCCAAAAGTTAATAAATATTCACAGGTAAAGAAATCCAATGGAGAAGACAATCAGAATATAGATTTAAGGGAGGGAATCCTGGTACACTGCTGTAGGAATTCACATTGGTGGACCCTCTACGGAGATTCACTGAAAGGGTAAGAATAGAAACCCCACATGCTCCATGCACGTAGGAAGGTGTGAACTTGTAATCTCTTCCACATGAGAAGCTTATTTTTCTACCCACTGCGCCACCAAATATGACTGTGAAGTTGTTATCTCAAAGTTATATACTTATGTAAACAACTAGCAAATCAATAAAAATGGGCAGAAAAAAAATACCATATGATTCAGTTATTCTACCTATTATTTATCTGAATAGGAAAACACTAATTTGAAGAACTACATTCACTCTTAAATTCACCACAGCATTAATCACAATATCTGTGTATGCTGGAAACAACTTAAATGCCCATTGATAGATGACTGGATATATACACAGTGAAATACTACTTAGCTGGAAAGAAAAAAAAGATAAAATCCTGCCATTTGCAATGACCATGGATGGATTAGAAATTATGAAATAAAGTCCAGCAGACAGAGGCACTATATGATTCACACCACTCACATATGGAAGATAAAAAACACACAAATGAACAAACAGAACTCTTAAATATAAGATATTGTGGTCCTCAGAGGAGAAGGGAGGGGAGAGAATGGGTAAATTGGGTAAAGGAAATCAATTTTATGGTGAAGAATGGAAATTAGTCCTGTGGTGGCCAACATAATGCAGCAGATACAGAAGTTGATTTGCAATGCTGTACAACTGAAATATCTATAATGTTATTAACTATTATTACTTCAATAATTTTTAAATTGTATTACCTATATGTCAAATATAAACCCTAGATAATTGCCACGTAACTACCAATGACTAAAAATGTCCCTCCTTCCTCAGTTTCATTTGTTTGTGTCAGTATTTTTAAGTCAAATGTTGTAAAGCCTTTAGATCTGCCAATAAGCAAAAACAGAGTGCTAATGGGGGCTGACAAAGTTATAAATGCTTTGCTTTCATAAGAAGTGACCTATAAAAAATCAGCCTACTACCAATTTTATTTCAGTAACCAAATAACATGTATTTGTAATGAAAGGGGGAATAAATAATGGGATATAACATCTCTAGCTCTTTGAACAGTTCATAACATGATCTATTTATTATTACTTCCTGTAGACCGAGAGAAAGCTCATGATAGATGGACACCAGTTTTCAGATGGCAACCTCAAGACCTGGTCTCAGAGAAGCGAGCTGAAGTCAGAGTTGTGGACCCAGATTCAGAGGGAATTTGACCTGCTACTGATTCAGAGGCTGTGGTTAGGTGAGCGGAGAGGTGCAGTCCCTGAAGCACTGGGCTCAGCACATACTCGAAGTTAGAAATACCACCTTGGAAGAGACTAGTGAAGCTAAGAATAAAAGCTGCAGCAAGAAAAAAAAATCTACATTACAATGAGAAGAGTAAGAGGCACAACTTAGTTTTGATGATGAAACTGAACAAAATGGTACAAGTAATAATTAAACTAAAGTTTGTAGAAAGTCTTGAATAAAACCTCCTATCTCCTGATTCACAAAATGTCAGGTTTTTTTTCCCTATTCTTCACCATTCATTAACTCATAAAAAATTGTTATTTCTCAAAATGGAAAAGTTATATGTAAGAAGTATCACATTTATCATGCTGTGTCATAGATAATATCAAGTTTACTGAAACATTAGTGGCTTTTGAGAAAAAACTCTCTGGGCTTGAATCTGTTGTCTCAAAGACTATTTCTAAAACATGAAATATGTACTGTCTGTCAATTAAGGAAATTCAAAGAGCAGCAGAGGTGCGTCTATATATCTTAAAACTATATTTACTAACATAAAAATACAAAGTGTAGTTCTTGGGAAGTTTTAAAATTTACTTCCAGTAAAATTCTTATTATAAATCTAATCTCAACAGTGATGTCAACAGGATACTCATTTGGCTTCTCATGATGTTCTAGAAGCCACAACTCTGAAGGAGTCAAATTTCCTAAAATAAAAGTGCTTATTTTAAAAATTAAAATAAAAAACTAAATAGTTGCTATACCTTACTATCTGTAAATGTAGGTCTTACATCTATTTTCTAAGAGAAGGGAAAGAGGTTAAGTATAAATCTTACTATTTACCAGCATGGAATATTAGGGAAAATATCATGGTATTTAACTGGAGATGGTAAAGGGAGGACAGTGAGCCAAAAAGGGACTTTGTGAGTAACAGAAAAAAACATATATTTAAAAGGTTACTTGAAGGCTTTCCCTTCAATTATAAAGTTGTTTTTCTCCTCTTCTACTCACCAGCATATCTTGTGTGAATACATACATGGTGGTACTTCATTAACACATTATCCGTATGTATTATAACTGATAAATCTGAAACACTAGAAAAAGAGGGTGGTGAGTCTAGAGGTTCCTGGATTCTAGAGAGAGACACAAATGAGGGACTGGGGTGCATGCTGAAAGAAAATAAAGGGCTGTCATCATATTCTCTGTGGACGGAGAAGCCATCAGCTACATCACAGGACCTGCAGGAGTGTATTCAAGCTAAATAAACACTATGGTCACAGCTGGTAAAGATTTTAGGGAACGTAGGTAATTCCTTTTCATTCTTATTCTGAGCTCCTATTATGTTTATTTGGATTTGGGAGATCAAGAAGAGATGGAATGTAGGCATAAAAAAAGTCTATTGAAATTAGATGGTAATTTGTACCTATTAATAGAATTAAGACTTGCTATGGCTGGACTATATAAAGCTCCTCTGTAAATGCTCCTTTTAACACTGAACAAACATAAACTCAGGGATTTTGCTAGTCCATAAAATCCCCCAGTGACAGTCCTCACACAGCACTTATGCTCAGCACTGCTAGACTTCCTCCATCTTCCTGTCTGTCCCTGAACTTATAGCTTCAGAGTATCTGAATAAATAGCCTTCCTATGGGATCTAAATAAGCATGTCTTCTACCTTAAGACTACATACTACTCTGGGCCCCCTTGGTATGGTCCTGAAGAGTTTAACCCAATCCATCTCTACTCACAGTGTGTCTTACACATGGTAGATAAGTATATGCTTTAAATAAAAAGAAAAGTCTTGTTTACAGTAAACTTTGCTATGAGTGCTCTAAAGAGAAATATAAAATCTCTGCATATAGATAAAAACTATGCCAATATCTAGGAGGATATAAATAGCATTTTTCTAAGCAATTTTTCTTTTATATTGCTACCATCCTAACGGAAAATTTCCTTTAATGGCTATATTGAAACAACAAGTGCACTAATTATAAGTAATTCAAATCTGATGCTGTCAAGTACCAGACCCCCCAAGACAATAGTTCTACCATTTCTTATCTCAGGACCATCCCCATATTGCACAACAATCAAACCATTCTCCTCTCTCAGGTTTTAAGTAACGTCATCTTAGCTTTCTCAAGTAAGTACAGAGAATAATGAGCTTGTATTAATCTTCAAAGCCAAAACCAGAAATTAAATGGATTGAACAGCAGGCAGAAAAGAAGAAATAAAGGAAGAAAAACAGCTAACAGTACTATGAGTCCTCACTAAATGTCTCCCATAAGTTCCTGGAACTTAAGTAAAATGACATTAGTCCACAACTAATGTCCTTTCACTTAACATCTGCAGGAATTGTTATTTTGTATCACAGTTATAATGAAACATTCACTGTTGAACAAAACAATGCCATTTGTTACTAGAGGGCATGATATACAGTTGGGTGATGCAGAGAATGTAAGATTAAGGTACAGAGCAGAGATGGGGAGGGGCAAGAAAGATGGAAACAGTAGGAGACGGGACACCTCCCATCTTTCTTGGCTTCCTGTTATATATAGGGTCATAGAAGGTGAAAACAAGTTTTAAAGAAGATGGGTTTTACATAATGGGGGGCAGAGTTAGAGAAAAGAATCCTCAAACCACAAAATAATCGTATAGACTGCAGTGGCTACCCACGTACGTAATCAAAGTAGAAAATCATATACAGGAAAGATAAAGACCAACTTGATCTGGATACTTCTGGAAGGGACAAAGGGGAATAAAAGAGGGAAGAGAAATGCAATCCAGTGCTGTATTTCTTTAAAAGAAAGAGAAGACAAAAATAAGGCAAATCATTAACATTTGTTATGTTACATTACTGCAGGTGTCGTGTGTTTTTATAGTGCATTTATTATGTTAAGGTTTATTATAATTAAATATATTCTAAAGAGAAAGAACTCAACATATCAGATTCAAAAAATATACATTTCAAGGATTAAGGAATAGGTTAAAGGTATAAGGTACTTAAGACCAAGGCATTAACACACGAAAATTGAGTAAAGTTGAGCTTCTACCAAAGACAAATGAAAATACCCAATAAAAAATGTGGGAATCACATGTATGTATGGATGAGATAATATAATTTCTCTCTAACACTTGGATAAGGGTTGGAAATATTTGCACAAAGGGGCCTGACTGAAGAAAACTAGTCTGATCTTTTTAGCCATTTATGCTTTCGTAATTAATACTTCCACTCCATTTACCATTGCTTATCTCTGCTAATGTGGATACCAATGCAATCACACTGAACCAGAAATGGAAAGAAAAAAAAAAAGATTATTTGAACAAAAGAAGGTAAGTTAGGGGATGTCAAATAAATTCTTCTCCAGGAAAATCTTTGTTTTAGAATCACACTTGAATGCTGTTTTACTTTATAAATTATATTTTAAGGACACTGGGCTAGGGACAAAATAAAATAAAAATATCTGGTCATCCCTCGTGGCGCAGCAGGTTAAAGCACAGCACTAAGAAACTAAAGCCACTTC